ACTTGCTTGTAATCTTGTATATTTATAAAATTTATAAAATTTGTCCAATTACTTATAATCTTCCTGGGGGGTTAAGCAAGGAAAGTACAATGTTAAATAAGCAAGAAAAAATACTTTTAAAACTTGGCAATTTCTGATATAATTTTATAAATTGTCAAGTTATACAAGTGATTATAATATACTTCCTAAATTACAAGGTTAAGACATACTTATTAATTTGTGACAGTGTAATATCTGCTTATAATGCTTACAAGCCATTACAAGTGTTTGAATAGCTTGCTTTTGCTTACTACACAATTTTATATCAAATAATTAATCAAATATAATTATATTTAAATTATAGAATACAAAAATAGTAAATAATGCACTATTTCTACAGTCCCAACCCCTACACCACCAGCTGCCTCTGCCTCATTCTTCTACAAGTGGGATTTGTGTTGGACAAGGATGAACACATTCTCAGGCTGTTCAATGTAGTCTTTGTCACTATGTTTTGGTTGTTGCTTGGTCCCTACAAGTTGAATTGTAAGTGTGTGTGGAATGAGGTTGAGCAGGTTGTGGAGATTGAGGCTGCACCTGTGAGACAAGCTTAGAGTGATTAGCAAGTGACAATAAGAGCAAAAAGATGGACACACTGCAACAGTGTGTAGCAAGTGTGGGTGGGTCACCTGGATTAGAAATCCAGAGTGTTGAGCAAGCTAATTTGGGCTGTAGGGGAAACATGTCTGTACAAGCATGTTGTATGCTCTAGCTACAACACAATACACAATCAGAGGTGTAGTGAACTCAGTAATAGTTGTGGATGACTTTGAAGGTGTATCTCTGGGACATTCTGGCTCAAAGGGAGAGGATGAAGTGGGTGGTGTGGGCAGACTTGGCTCAGGAGAGGTGAGTAGTGGCTACTGCTTCTGTTATTCAAAATGGTGTCATAGACAGTACTAGGGTATATAAATGCACACAGTGTGGGCCCATTGAGGGTGATGTCAAGCATAGGATAGTAAGTAGGGAAGGAGAGTGTACAGAGGGTCAGAGAGAGGATTGCACCTGAGGAGTGGTAATACATGGACATTGTTGCAAGTGTGTACTCACTGATTGTTGCTTGTGTTGCTGAGTAGGAAGAAGTATGCAAATGCATGGAATTATTGAAGAAGTTGTTCAACATTGGTCAACAATGCAGATGTGCAAATGTGAATGCAAAAAAGAAGGCAAGTGTAAGAAAAAGGAGGACAACAAAGGAGAGGCAATGTAAGAGGCAGAGTAAGGAGCAGGAGGGATGAAAGGGAGACAAGAAGTTGGGAGGAGAGGGATGAGCAACTATTGTGCAAGTTATTATAGAGTGGACTGGCTACTTACACTTTATGCTGAAGGACTGTGTAGCCAGCTCAGCTATGTTGTCACAAGATCTGAGGCTCAGCACAGGCATTGTAGTAGCAGATTAGAGAGACAAATCCAGCAACCTTTATTGCCTAGGCAGTTGCAGGCAGTGTGCCTGCTAGAGGATGCTTGTAGGCAGAGGACTGGCCTAGAGAGAACAAAAGAGACAACATAGTGTTGGGGGAAGAGGGTTGGGGAGATGATGGAGGTAGGAGGAAAAGGAGTGACAAGAGCAAGTGTGTCATTATATACTCTTGATCTTTGGTACTCGATTATGTAATCACTTCAATATATTGTTTAAAGGTAAAAACAAATTATATTATAAGTCTGAAAGAGTGATTGTTAACATTATTAATATATATAATTGTATATTATCTTACTAAAAGTATTGTAATTAACTTACAAGCACAACATATTACTTTTATGACTGTTATAATTAATCAACTATTGTTACAGATAACTTATAATATAATTTTAGCATATTATAATAGGAGTTGAGCACATGTAATGTTGTAATAATACTATTAGTAAGCTTACTTGCTCTAAAACATGTTTGTAGTTTAATAGAAACTTTGTATATTTCTTACATTTATATACAATCATTATAATTACATTATAAGTAAAATATAAGTGTTATTTTAGAATGTAATGCTTATAAAATCATTTTATTAGATTACCTTTGCTATTATTAAATACA